AGTTTCAATATCTATTTAAGAATATCTTCTTATATTGAAGTCCATCAGATGTGCATTAAGGTTGAAGTCTGAAATTCTCATTTAAGAATTTAAGAAGTAAGTTGCATAATATATGGCATTTGATGATCTTTTCTTGCCTCAATATCTTCATCTGATAAAAGAATATTAGGATTACATTTCTATTACAGACATGCCGAATACTGAAAATCATGTAAATATGTTTACATAGAAATTTACCCAATATCTTCCTTTAACCCATCTCTTATTTGAGTTCCTGAGTTATTCCTGTTTTTTTCCCCCCTAACCTCTAATATTTATTATTTCTCCTGTGTCAGTGTTCATCAAACTCTCATTAGTGAGCTTCTTGAAGGGAATGTGCAGTTTAGGAGACTGTTCTTCAAAATCAATTTCAAGCTTACTGTGGTCATTTTTGTGCATGTTTTGTGCTGGGGTTATTCAGATAACAATTACATACTTACATGCATGTATTATTCATATAACATACAAAAGACCCTAGTATTTAATAAAGGTTTTATTAGCACTCATTTAAGAAAATATCTTAGTAGTAGTAATATTTCTTTATAGTAGACATTAGTTTGGTCTTTACTTTTAGGGTTCTTTTTATTCATCTAGGCCTCTGCTTTATCAGCTGATATATACTATATTACTATGTGTGCTTACATGTTATCCTCATTCACTGGTAAAAATAGTTTAATTTTCCACTTGTAGAATGAATAGTCAAATAAATTCAAAGGTACATTATTTCCTTCTTAACATTCAAAAACTTTTTTGTGAAGTAAAACTTGTAGATTTAAGTGCATATATCCTAAGTATAAACAATTTAATTTTATAACCCAAACACAGAGATCAACAACTGAAATCGTATTTGCACTGCCAGAGGCCCACATACTTTTCTCTTAAAGATGTGTTCTTTATAATTAAGATATTTTCTGAAAACTGATACTGGAAATACTTGAACAAAGCAATTGTAATTTTTCTGAAAGGAGAGTGAGCGTATAATTGTTGATATTAATAGTACTTCTAATAACTAATAGTGCTTAATAATTGCTTGTTCAATCTGTTTTTACACTTATGTTGCAAAGGATTATTTTTTTTATATTTCCATATCTGAAAATGAGATTTAAAAATGTTTATGAGAAATAGCTTCCATCTAAATTTTTTATAAAGTAACAGGTACATTAATAAAATAGTTTAATATTAACCTTACTTCAGTACTGTCATGTAAAGCATTTTACTTTATATATAAAGGAATGGAGGCCCATGATTATGATATTTCTTTGTCATGTTTGCAAATAGTCTTTCAGTCATGTTCTCCACTATTCTTCCTGGATTTTAAAGTTATTTAAATAGAGAGGCTATTCATTCCCTTCACCAAGTGTCTACTATTAGTAAAATGTTGTATGTCCCATCAGCATTTTGATGGTATAAAGCAGTGGTTTTTCTGTGTTTCACACAGCACTGGGGCTCTGCAAAGTGTCTCTGGGGGTTCTTTGATGTCTAGACAGTTTAAATTATGCCTGCTCCCCTGCCTCCAAATTCCACCCCTGTTCTGCTTCAGGGGTTGTGGGAAATGAAAACAAACCAGAAGGGTTCCACAACCTTACAGTCTAGGGGAAAAAACAAATAAACAGAATAAGCTGTATATCTACCCTGGCAGGTGTATAGGAAAAGGCCCAGTTATAGAGGATGGAAGAAAGAAAAGAATTGGGGGTGTACATTGTCCTGCTTATTTGTTTCTTATTGTATTTATAATCTGGAAATATATGTGCATTATGAACAAAATGAAAACGTTGTAGAAGAATTAGGAAGGAAAGCAAAGTCACTTTTAGCCCACTGACCTTTTTTCCTTCCTATCTTCTCATAGGCAGCCAAATCTAAGGCTTTGGTCTTACACATTATCCTATGTATGGAAATGGTAAAATGTGGAATCATGTTTAATGTTGGAAAACTAACTTTCTTTTCTTCTTTTTTTTTCCTTTGTTTTCCTTTTATAAATTGGAACATCATGATTCCTCCAATGCATCTTGATAGAAAGTAAGTAACTTCTGAACTTTTAGAGATATTTTGTTAAAACATTGAAGTTTTATTGCTTTATATATAGATGTATATATGTGTATGTGTGTGTATGTATATGAATATATACACAGAGATACAGAGTTTTAAACTCTGTAATTTTGACTAGGGTGATTAACCTTTGCATTAATTGTAATTTTAAAAAATAAGTGAAAAATAAGAAATGTTACATAAGTGTTCCTAATATCTAAGAATAGAGACTTCAGGAGCAACCCATTGCTAATTTTTGTGTTTTAACTACAGTTAGCTATATGGAATGTACACTTGATAATTCCATTACTTTCTGAAGATAAAAATAACAAAAATATTTTATTTATTCCCTGTCAATATCAGTTAACTAAGATCATATATTTCCTCAAGAAAAGTAGTCCAAGTTTTCTAGACTTCACAGAATTGGTGAGAATAATAGCAATAAGTAAAAATGATATGCAAGATTTTTTAAATATATTTTCCTATTATGTCTGTTGCATTGAATGAATCACTTTTTAATAAGTATTAAACACTTGATAATTTTAATTGTTTTAAAATGAGATAGATCAGAATAATAAAGTATTTTTTGCCATTAAAGAAATACCCTTAATATGCTTAAAACAAGTGAATCATTGAATGATTTGAGTTATCAAATGTTATCTAATTCTTCTAAAACGTTGAGTACTTCCAAAATAACATTTCATGTTTGTTTTGGGAAAGAGTTGAGGAAATGATGGTAGTCATTGAATCTTTTGGAGATTTATTTTCATGTGATTGTGAATTACATATTTTTAATTTTTTTCATAGTAAACAGTGTGATTTAATAATATATTCATGCTCAATAGAGCTTATTATTTGTACATAATTGGGTACTTAGCACATATGTTTCCAGCAAGCATAGCATCAAACTGCTACTTAATAGTCAATTTGTCTTGTACAATTACCTTTACCTTAGAAAGAAAATATAAACTACAGTGGTATTTTATTTGTTCATTATTTCTTAGTTGCCTATAGATCCATATTGTTCCTTAGTGTTCTAAATCTGAGTTCTTGAAATTGTATGCATTAGGAGTAATCAAAAGCAGGAAGATTATCATGAGGTTTTATGTTAGGTGGATGGTTTTATTGTTATATATTTTTTTTTAAATCTACATTGCCTCATTTTTATGTATTATATTTTATACTTGTCCTTTTAACATCTTCTTGCCAAGTCCCTATGGAAATTCTGTAGGTCTAACAGTCTCACTAAATTAAAACTCCAAAAATCTGGCATAATCATTTCCAGCTTCTAATTTTCTGTGCTTTTGTCTGAGAGTATAATGTGGAAGTATATGTTTTGCAGAGTTCTGTATAACACACATTGCATTATTTATCTAGAATTCATTCATAGATCTTTCAGTGGAGATGAATGTATCTTACTTTATAGGTATGCCTGTGTCCACATAAATATGAATAAAAATCTTTTGTAAGGGAAAAATCATGAAATGAGGTCTGTAAGCTTTTAGGAGCTTCAAAAAAAAAGGGTAGTGCATCAGCACACCGATTATTGTTCTGTGTACTTTAGTGTTACTGCATTGTTCTATGACCAAATTTATTCAGACTCTTATTTCTTGTCACACCCAGTGGAATCATATTTATGTGACAGCATAGAGAAGCTGCTTCCTAAAATAATGCAGATTACTCATATTATTATAATATTTATAAACCTTTATAACCATGATGTGTATATATGCTGATTTGTTATTAAGAGTGTTTTGGCAATTCAGCTAATTCAATTTTTGCATTTTACTGGTGAGTTTTAGTAGTAAGAGATTAATTTATTAACAATGACATTTTTATCCTCGAAATTCAAAATTTGAACACTTAATATCTTCAAAGCCTTCTTTCCCAGAATATTTTAAGTTAAAGACCCGTAAGAGATACAAGCTTGTCATCAAAATTGGTTTGACCAAACACTGATATATAGAAACACAATTAAATAAAAGTGCAATAATTGTGGCTTTAAATTCTGGTTTGCAAAACTATTAGTTTATAAGTAAACAACAACAAAAAGTCTAAAATTTACCCCAAGGGGGGAAAAAATATATATAATTTTTATATATATTTTGTTAAATATATATATTATATATACATATAATGTATAAAATATGTGTGTTATGCATTTCATAACCATCTTTGCAAGTATACAAATTCATTGCAATAATGTTTGTAGATATGTGCATTGATATTTTAATCATTTATTTAATTTCTTTAAGAAAACTGATTTCATAATTCAGTCATTTGCATCTTTTCTACAGAACATAATTGTTGGGCAGAATTCTCAAACACATATTTTTTTATTGACATATCTGAGAAAAAGATGTCATTGTATAAGTTGTATCAGAGATATAAACACAGATATATATTCTTATTTGGCCATGTGAAAAATGCAGTCCTGTGAGTAAGTTAAATACTTATAATTTCAAATCAGTTCTTCCCCGGTTCTTATTATTCTTTTGTTGCTTTTCGACCTATGAGATGGAGCTGCCCTTGAACTTGGGGGTTCCACCCCCCCCTCGCCCGCCCCGATCATTCAAGTGCAACCATCAACTTGTCTGTAATATTTTAAATCTGAGGCCTCATAGTGTTATTTTACAAAATAACACCACATAAAAGTCTGGGCTTTGGTTTCCTTAAAATACAGTGTTGGTTGCTTTATGAATAAAAGCATAATTTCAATTTAGGAGACTTTTTGCCTGAAGCCTGCAAGACAGATGCATCTGATTAACTTTGGGGAAACTGGACTGGCCTGTTATTGTAATGTAGATGTTTTCGGGGTTGGGAGGATATTTTAAAAAGGCATGCAAGAAGATCTCTTTTTAAGAGAGTCAGAGAACAGTTTTGCTACAGAAGCTGCATCTCAGATCGCTTCATTTTTCCACACTTTTATTTTCTAGTGGAACCTCTCCATTAGCCTGTCTGAATGCAATGCTTCACACTAACACTCGGATAGGGGATGGAACATTCTTCAAAATCCCTGGAAAGTCAGGCCTCTATGCTCTCAAAGTAAGTTGTATTGTTCTGCATGTTATGTGTGTTATTACCATGTATCATGCATTTTTTTCAAACATAAGAAGGTAAACAAAATTAAATTTGAGTGAAGGGTTGAAGGATGACCCCTATGCCTTTTAAATGTTTTCAGATGTCATAAAAATGATTTCATATTGAGAATAAACAATGACATTTTTCTTTAAGGAAAGCTTATCTGTGGTTTCACTCCACAGCATCTGGCAATGGAAAATAGCTACGGCTTCCTTAAAATTCTTGATTTGAAAAATTTACAGGGAGGAGTATCATGAGTCATCAGTGAGGAGTTGTAAGATGATCACAGTTGCCAGAAACTCTTTGACTTAATGACCATCAGCTGATAGGTCTTCACACCTGTAATCTTTCCTGACTTTTGTAAAAATAATCAATTTATTCCTTCTTCTTGAAAACTTACTGATTTTAATTGGGCATTCAATTTGAAAATAAGCAGTGACCTCAAGGAAGGAATAAAATAGAATTTTAAAATAGTTAATTCTGAATTTTTTAATAGCATTTCTATTTCCATATAGAATGGGAAATGCCATCTAAAATTCAGAATTCCAGATGATCAACGCTTATGTTCTACAAAGGATTGTGTAACATAGAACAAATAAACTCAGAATATTATTTTTATAGATTAAAAATAAATTACTGTTATTTGAAAATAATTACTGTTTATTATGAAAATCTGTTAGGATGTTAAAGATAAATGATGGATTATATTTAAAGTTTATTTATTTCCTTCGAGAAGATTTATTTTTAATGTCAAACGTTACATCCCATCTATGTATGATATCTCAAAATGCATAATAAATGCATTCTACTGTCATATATAACTATTAAAACAAATAAAAAATAATAAAAAAAGTTATACCTGGCAAAGAAAGTAGGGATTCTCTCTCAGCTATAGTGAATGTTTCTGAAAATAGCGGAGGCTATTTTCAAAATGGCTTTTTTTTCTCCCTTTGCTTTTTGGGGCTACTTGGATGTTCAATTCACTGATGAAAATGCAGAATTGTTAATCCATTTGTTTACATCAGGAAAAACGTATAATTGAAAAGAAATTGGAAACAACTCCTTTTAAGGAGACTTCCTTTTTTTTTTTTTTTGGATGTAGATTTAAAAGGTTATACAGTAATATATGGAGTGGTAATGGGCTTTTCCTCTTGACCCCTCCTCAAAGGAGTGACTTTTACATGAAAAAGTAAATCTGTATTGAAACTCCAAATCTCATAAAACTGTGAAAATCCTTTAAGATGCTAAAAGTATTTAAAATATTTTTAGTTGCTAACATATCTCTATTTATCATCATTAAAAAAATAATATAGAAAGAGGAGTCATCATGCCCAGCAGATGGAACACTGGATTTAGTCTGTGACTCTGAGCTGGATGGCACAGAGATGGCTGAGGCAAACGCCAACGGAGAAGAAAACGGAGGTGAGTACGAGGAGCTTCAAATATCATCCCTGGTTCTCTTAAGTTAATTTCAACGATTTTACTACTTGAATTCCCCACCATTATACATTTTCTTGTAAGATTTTTATCCCTTACCAGGGTTTATCATCAGTCATTTTTTTATTTAGAAAAGTTAGCACTTAAGAAAAGTATACATTTCTTTGCTTATATATATATATATATATGGACATAATATATTTATTTATTTATTTTTATGTGGTGCTGAGAATCAAACCCAGTGCCTCACACTTGCTAGGTAAGTGCTCTACCACTGAGCCACAACCCCAGCCTGGTTCTTTGCTTTTTTGCGTGTGTGTTTTTGTATTTCCCTGAATAATTTCTGAAGTATTATCAGTATATTTCTCATGTAAACTAAGATGGTGCTAGAGGTATCTTATGGTTTGGATTAAGAGTGCAGTGCTTATGACTAAATGTGCTGACTTTTCCTGTAATCACAAGTAGTTGTTTTATAATAGCTTTGTTCCTTCCTTGTGTTGCCCTTTGTAAATTAAACCTAATGTTACCATTCCTTACAGAGAAACAAGGCTCTAATAAGATATTTACTCGTTAAACACTTTTGAAAAATGAGAGATCCTTCCCGAATTCTAAGAGGATCTTTTCCACCTGTGAACTCTGTTATTTCACTCTCATCTCTCTGAAAATCTGTTGTGAATTGTTGTTGCATGTAATTCTGTATTGCAGAAGCTGCTGTACTCTCTTCCACTCTATCCGCTGGTCTCAAAAATGGTCCCTGTTGGGCTGAGGCTGTAGCTCAGTGGCAGAGCGCTTGCTTAGCATGTGTGAGGTACTGGGTTGGATCCTCAGCACCACATAAAAATAAATAAATAAAGGCATGATGTCCATCTACAACTATAAAAAAAAATGGTCCCTGATCATGGTTTGGGAGGAAGAGTGTGTAATTAAATTCTCTTGTCGGTGGATTCATCAGAATCAGTAAATTATCTTTAAACAAACTTTAAAACAATCCTTGCAGACATATCATATTTTAGTAATAACCTCAACCCATACATTTTGTTAATGGCTATAGGAGTCCCTTTGCATGCTCTCTGGGTGGACTGAACACTCCTTCCCTTTACTTTAAACTGGTGTGCTGTCTGATGGTCCCCATAAGACTGATGTGACTTCATTTGTGTCTGATCTGCAGCAGAGGTTGTGAATTGAGCATAGGAAATGCACATTCTTGTCTTAGTCCAACGGAAGCAGACTGTTTTATAGATTGCTTACCAAATTTTCCCTTGTCTTGATATCCCTGTTCCTACCCCTTTTGAGAACGACCCCCCCCCCCATTGTTGTTGTACTTTGGAGTTTCTAAGGTTAGGCAGAGGACAAGCAGAGATGCACAGTTTCTGGCATTCTAGAAGGGCTGGCGAACAAGCATCCCTTCAGTAGAATGAAGGAGAATCTGACTGAGGTCGTTCCCCTTGCTGTACCGCTTGCCTGTGTGAGCGCTCATGTGTTCTCTCTCAAAATGTACATTGAGCTTCTGGGTGCCAAGTTCTGTTCTTGGCATTGCAGTTCCAGCAGTGAATAACAAAAACAGATCTCTCGTGGAGCTTATGTTCTTTGAGAGATAGACAGTAAGCAAAATAGATCTGTAAAATTTGTACCTCTTTCACTGGTAAGAACTGGGAAAAATACATAAAGGCATAAGAATGGGGAGAAGAGTGTGTTTAAGAAAAACCCTGAGTGGAGTGAGGGAAAAGGTCTTCAAGGGCGGAGAGTTCTGTGTAGAGGGGAACAGCAATCACAAAGGCCTTCAGGCAAGAAAATGCCTAGAATGTTTCAGAAACAAAGGTCAATATAATTGGGAGGCCAGATTGAATAAGGGAGAGTGTGGTAAGATACAAAGCAAGAGAAGTTGTGGGGGCTAAGTTATAGAGTATCTTGGGAGTGGCTTTTTTTGTTTGTTTGTTTTTTAAAACATGGTGTCATTTTTAATACCTTTGTTTTTGTTTATTTTTATGCTGAGGATTGAACCTAGGGCCTCAAATGTGCTAGGGAAGTGCTCTACCACTGAGTCACAACCCTGTCCCAGTGGCTTTTGTTTTGAGAGAGAGATTAAGCCATTGTAGGTTTGAGCCACAAAGACAATTTCATATTTTATCAGGATCATTAAGTATAATAAAAAGATGAAAACAAGGACGAAAACATGGAGATGAGGTAGAAAACTTATTGCCATAGTCTGGAGGACAGATGATACTGATTTGATGAAAGGAGTATCAGTAGGTATGATGAAAAGCGATGGGATTCTGGATGTATTTGAAGGTAGGTCCAATAGGAACTGCCGGCAGATAAACGTGTGTATAGGAGACAAAGGAGTTGGGGATAACTAACTCCAGAGTTTGAGTGTGAGCAAAGAGAAGAATAGTGTTACCTTTAGCTTAGATGGAAGAATTTGTAAGAGTAGTAGTTTTGGACAGGATGGATATTGATGAGCTCATTCTAGACATTGATTATAAAATTCCATTTCACCACGCAGGTAGGTATGCTGTGTGACTGACTTACCTATCTGAAACTCCAGCGGAAGACCTTGCTGGAGATACACAATTGAAAGCAGTCAGTTTATAGACGGTATTTGTAGCATGAAATGGAATGAGAACACCAAGGAATCGAAAGTGCATGGCAAAGAGAAGAGACTCAAAGACTGAGCTGAGGGATTCTTGAATTTCTAGAGTTGGGAGAAATGGTAGGAAATGGCAAATAAGACTATGGATAAATGGACAGGAGAACAGGTTTTCTGTGAACAGGTTTATCAAGTGAAGATAAGTGTTTCTGGGAGGAAAGTGATTCAAATATGTCAGGGATTTTGATATGTTATGCTGAAGATTAAAAATTTTTTACTGGATTTAGTTTTATGAGATGTTTTGGTTTGCTTTTCATCGCTGTGACCAAAATACCTGACAAGAACAGTTTATAGGAGGAAAAGTTTATTTGGGGCTCACAGTTTCAGAGGGCTCAGTCCATAGACAGCTGGCTTTATTGCTCTGGGTCCAAGATGTGGCAGCACATCCTGGGGAGGGCTCAGTGGAGCTGCTTAGCTCATGGCAAGGTCAGGAAGAAAAAGCAGGTGTGGGGGATGGAGCCACAGGGAAGTTGCACCTTTGGGGCACACCTCAGTGTTCCACCACCCCCTGCAGCACCCCACCTGCCAACAGTTATCACCCAGCCCATCAGTTCAAACTAGGGTTGGCTGATTAGGTTACAGCTCAGTATCCATTTTTTCCTCTGAATATTGCTGCATTAACAGGAACTTTATAACCAAATCAGAACATGAGGGTATTGGTGAACTTGACGTTGACAACTTCTGTGGAATGTTAAGAAACCCTGAATGGAGTGGGTTCAAGAGAATGTGAGCATAAAAGGGAAAGTAGAATCCAGAGAGAGGTGTTTTTTTTTTTTCTTATAGAAAATAAATTTTAGAATAATTGCTTATTAATAAGAAATTCCAGTTGAGGAGGAGAAATTGATAACATGCAAAAGGTGCTGTTTCCTCTGTGCTTGATGAGATGACTGAGGTCAGGAAAGGAGCAATAGGAAGAGTCAGCTTATTTCACCAGAAGTGAATGTCGGTGAGTACTTGTGGAAGAAGCTTATGGAATTTTCCTTCTTATTGCCTCATTTTTCTCTAAGAAAAGGGAAATCAGTTCATTAGCTGAGGTTGAGAATAGGAGAGGTGGTTTTGTACATATAATGAGAAGATGTAAAATATTTGTCTAAGACAGTCTTGTTGCATTAAGGGCATTCATTAAGGTTATTAATCTTGCATTTAATATGGCACCAGTCCCCCTGTTCTGTTCAGGATCACTGTACAAGTACAGACAAGTACACAAGCTAGATTTGACGAAAGTTGAGATTTTTGCCAAATGAAGCAATCAAGGAATAAAAGAATCGGGTGTATGAACTGGAGAAGTTAAGGTGAATGTCCATAGAATTTAAGTTGGACGTGGAGCTAAGTGAAGACACAATTAATTGAGGGATGGTGTGGAAGTGGAAGTCTCAGTGAGGTTGGAAGGATTGTTGACTTGGTGTGATAGAGAAAATGAGAAAAGCATGTGAGAGTGTAGCTCATGACATTGAGGTTAGGGTAACATTATGTGTCTGAGTTGAGAGAAAAGAAAAGGGCTAGGTTTAATGGTGTCATGAATGGTTAGGCATAGTATTCACTCTGGAAGATGGGACCATCAGTGGCTGGAGTTAAGCACCTCTCCATTTGCTCAATTTAGCATCATGGGATTGGGCAGGTCTACCTGGAGGAAAGGTTTCCTTGTCCTTCTTTATTTAAAAAAATATTTTTATAGTTGTCATTGAACCTTTATTTTATTTATTGATATGTGGTGCTGAGAATCAAACCCAGTGCCTCACACATGCTAGGCAAGTGCTTTGCCGTTGAGCCACAACCCCAGCCCTGCTTTTTCTTATTGGAACAAAGATGTTGTAAAAAACTGATTGTGGCCCTGGCATAACATATTAGAGAATCTTCTAACATATAACATAAGTGAGAGTAACATAAGTGAGAGTAACCCAGGAGTTGGTGGATAAGTACAGTTAACGGGAATAGTTGGTAATGCCCTCTGATGAAATGAGATACACTGCTGGAGGCATCTAAGGAACAGGGAGGGAGAATGGTCTGAAGGAACAGGCAGGAGAACATATGTCACCTATCCATATTCTAGGCCCAGTGATATAAGATGAGTGGAAAAAGACAAAGAATTCCTTCTACCTGAGAATCTTCTAGGGAAGTGGTATCCATAGGAGAGAGTCAGGTAGACCAAGAAGTAAAGGGATGTTCAGAAGAAACTGGGAGGTTGCAGAAGATTTTTGCTTGTGGCTCATCCTGAATCAATCCTAAAAGGAGATGGAGGGGAGGGTGTTAAGAATTGGGAAGGGGTAGAAGATAGGTTGAAACTTAGCCAATAATTGGACCAAAAGGGGTAAGCAAACCTCCTAATTTGACATGTGAA